GCGGGCGTGGCTTGGCAGCTCGCACGTTCTTTCACATGTTTGAGTACACGCGTAATATCCGGCTTTTCTTTCATCTGTACACATGGTCACCGCTCTCTGACCAATAATATCATACCTGCTGCTATTATCAACGCTATTATTGTGCACATAATGGTATTAAGGAGCTTGATGAAGTGCACAGATGAGAGAAGATCCAGGTATTAGCTGAGCATTCAAACATGATAAAGAAGGTAGACGCTGCGGGGTCACGACTTCTCGGCGAAGCCAGGCCATACCACGAAGGCGCGCCGGCGTCCGCCGGCGAGCCGATGTGTCAAATGTCCCTACGACGACCGGTGGTCGAAGACAGTCCCCGTGCTCAAGGGATTCGTAGCCGCGCTTATTCATCTTGTACCCGCACCCTACCCATCCCAACGTTGACCCGACCTCTTCAAGTTGTTCTACACAGATAGGACCAAAGTTCCACGCAGACAAACAAACGTACTAGTGGATATGATATAGTGGGTGATCACTTGTAGCAGCTACATACAATTCAAAAAATCCTAAGAGGTAAGACATTGGGATCCTGAGTAATACAGCAGTTTTGTAACAGTACCTTGATCGATCCGGAAGGCAAAGTTCGTTCCACGTGAGCTTTCCACTTCTCAGCGAATTGTTGCATGGTTTTACCGTACTTCGCCTCTATGTCCACTCTTTCACGAGCCATTTTCGTGAAGTCGTCCAGCTCATCAATCCCTTCCTCAAACTGACGAGTTATCGAAGACGTAGCAGACAAAAAAGTACCAAATGTTTAGAAACTGGGTGCTTCTGATCATCAGTAAAACTTGCTCGAAGGTTGAAGAAGGTTTATCTCTATGCGATGGATTAATTAGTTACATTATCTCCATGCGATGGATTAATTAGTTACATAACTGCGCCCGTTAATTGTGATTTTGGATTGGATTCAATACTAGGTTCATCTTCAGGGCTGAAATCTCCAGAACGAAATTTGTCGAACCATTGCCGCACAGTGCTTTCTCTAGCACTATTGGGCCCCCACACCTGGTTAATTTGTTGAGCTGTCTCGATTGCGGATTGACCCAATTTTTAGTCGAAGAAAAATATCGTCCGAAGTTGCTCTTTTGACATGCTTCAAAAAGTCTTGGGAAAAGGGGGTTTATCAAGCAATGGTGAAACGGCAATTATACCATCAGATAGCGCAAAGAATTCTCTTCAGGATGTACTACTGAGACGCAAGGGAGAATGAGTTTTCAATCAGCAATGAATGTACAAAAAATAGTAACACAAAACGCTGAGAACTTTCCGGACAACCTAATAGAATGAGCCCTTAAATGGCATATATCAGGGCTGTACTTATCAGTCACGCAGGAACCCAACAGGAAGGAAATCTGAGAAATGCAAACCCCCAAGCGAACCCGATCTGCAAACTACCCTCCGTTTGAGGGGCTGTCGCACTCTCCGCCACATCATCTGGCCACTGCCAGCCACTGTAAGGCCAGCCACTGTAAGGTGCGGGCAGATACTGAAGACACTTCAGTACTCTCCAACACTTAGTAGGTAGGGTATTTGGATTTGCTTTATTTTGCGTTGTGTTTCATGGCTAGTAGAAGAACACCTCACAAAAGATACCTGTTCTGCGACACCTAGAATAGAGCCAAATAAGGTGTTTGAAACCGCTCATTCTGAGCAATTTCTCATCATCCCTTCTTTTGGCATTACCAGTATTTTTGGCATTACCAGCGCCCATATACAACCCCCTCGCACTTCACACAACGGATGATGTGCCGTGTATCGTACATTAATGGCTCTGGAATCCGTCTGCAGCACCTGAATGGGCGAAATGGAGGTGTCAGCTTGAGGCGTCAGTCCTCCCCTACTCCCCAATGTCCTCCTCTGGTGGACCCCTTTCTCAAGACTTACCTATGCTCTTACAATCTCCCCAAAAATTGCGCGTCCAGCAGCGGCGGTGGGAGCTAGACAAACCCGAACAATTATCAGAAATAGTTGTTTTGCCGCTGCGCCTGCTACGGGAGTTAATGTTCCTCACCTCAGTTACCCTCCTCTCTTAAGAACCTTCCAGCGCTTAAGCAATTCGTGGGCGTCTTCCCTGTACAAGTAGTCCGGTCGGCAGTCTCCAGGATTATCCCTTTTTCGCGGCTCCACAGTAGGTTAAGAAGGCGCTGTAGTTCTCAAAAGTAAGTGGCAGGTCTGATGCCTCCCCAGCAGTAGTCCAGCGGAACTCAAAGACTATTTTCTGTCCCGAAATTAGTTTTCACACCGCCTTCCGTTTTTTTTTCCACTGTTATATCGTATTGCACTGAATGGCGCGAATAAAGGACTAGTAAGCCAAATACGGCAGAATATCGCTTTTGTGGCATAGAACGAGCAGTTCCCAATTCAGGGAGGCTGTCAGATCACTTCTTAAAGGGGGTTTTTTCCACGATTTCTTTTTGCTTTTTTTCCTCCCTGGAATGTCAATTAACGACTATAGGTTTGCAACTGAACGCCACTATCTACAGTATACCATCGCAGAGTTTGTCTTCAATCCCATGCGACCATCCCATCTTAAGATCTCTTCAACGTTACTCTAAGAGGAATGGATTTCGGAATCAGGCTGACGTCAAGGACGCGCTCAGAGAATGGATGCGATTGCAGCCCCGAGTTCCAAGAAAGAGGCATTGGGTCATCGATGGACAGGCGGACGTTCTTGAGTAACTGTGGCGACTATTATATATGATATTATTCCATTTTGAAACGCATTTTTAGTAAAAAAGTAAGTTTCGCGACACGAACACATAAGAAACCCAGTGTTTGAGACAGCCTAATGTCAAGTGCAAAGAAAGTCCTTAGTAAGCAGAAAAAGGCCAGTTTGTTTCGAAAGATCTAACTAAGCTCTAAGCATAAACCTCACCTTTATTCGACGTACAGTATTCTTGTAAGCGCCAATCTCCCAAAAACCAGGAGCCAAGACATCAGCCGCCATACTGAAAAAAAATCGGAAGGATTATCCCTTTCACTTCCTCCCAAGGAATTTTTTTCAAGATACAGGTGACCCCGTCGTTCGAAAAATTGGAGAGAGCAACTCAGGTACAGAATGAAAGAAAAGCGAAGCAAAACAAACTATTTTTAGGGACGTAATCCAGTCAAATAGAGAGAAACACAAACGATAGAAAGGCGCATGACTAATACGAAACTTCTTCAGGCTGGATGAAGCTTAATCTATCATTGGTAGCAGATCGAAAATCTGCTGGAACGCAGCAATATATGACAAATCAATAATGTAACGATAGGATTTATTGCCTTCAAGACTGACTATAACGGGCGTAGCATAATAAACGGTCTGCGAATGTAATGACAGTGAAAACAAGAAAAAGGATATCTTAGTGAGTGCCGTGGGGAAAGTGAAATACTATGACGCTAACAACGTCGCCGATGACGACGACGGAGGGTGGGGATGGTGGAGCTGAGAAGCAAACCGGAACAGTGAACGCAACACGATAATTATCGGTGATCAAAGAAAGAGGAACACGACTGGAGGAATAGAGTGAAACCACAGCAAGTGTGTGGCGAGCCGCCTAATCAGCAAAACCGTGAACACCCTCCCATTCACGTGCTCTTACTCTACTTTTATTACGAGTCACATTGGGGGTGGCAGTGTGGTGACGTCAGGACTACGAAAAAAGGCCACCATGACAGACACTCGCCACTCATTCATTAGCGGTGATTTAAGTGCACACCAACCAAAACATCACAATTTTTTTCACCGTAGTTTGGAGCACAGATCAAGAAATGTATATAAACTTATTCGCTAGAAATTACCCAGTTTTCCAGAGTATGGTCCCGCCCGTGTACGGCGCACCTTCGCCTTCGAACGTTGCAAATGGTCTTACTCACTTTTGCGTGTTTTTGTTTTTATTCACACTAGTCTACTTTATGAAGAAGTTCTTGAAAACCAGTTGGAAGATTACAGTGTGCAAAAAAAAGGCAGGAAAATTATTGATGTGTCTACCACCTTTTGGCGCGCCTTGTCGCGTGCTTCTCTGCAAAATATGCCCTAATAAACTACATCAAACATACACTCGGAATCCCTGAGATGGGGTAGGCGTGGCTCCGTATTTCACCTAAACAGTACGGTGGATGTGCTCCTAGTGAATTTTCATTTTGGAGAGATTTTGATCGTTTCTTTGTCCGACACGGAAAAGATGACAGTTGTCTCGAAAAGAAACATCCCACGAGTAGTTCCGTCCCATGCCACATATAAGTGCCACGCCTACTCCTTCCCATGGATAAGGAGAATACCAACACAGTACCAACAAGTTGGATGCCAGCATAGACAAATCAGCGACCACGAAAAAAGGTATTAGGTTGTCCGGAAAGTTCTATTTGTGTTACTATTTTTTGTACATTCACTGCTGATTAAAAACTCATTCTCCCTTGCGTCTCAGTAGTACATCCTGAAGAGAATTTTTGCGCTATCTGATGGTATAATTGCCGTTTCACCATTGCTTGATAAACCCCCTTTTCCCAAGACTTTTTGAAGTATATCAAAACAGCAGCTTCAGACGGACAAATTAACCAGGTGTGGGGGCCCAATAGTGTTGGAGAAAGCACCGTGCGACAATGGCTCAACAAATTTTTCAGCCTTGAAGATGAACCTCATAGC